AAGCGCCTAAGGCATCAAAAAGTTCTGCTAGGTCGTAAGTTTGACCCAACAATCTCGGAGATGTCCGGAATACGCCAAATTCTGGAAATGGTGGAGTTTCAACAATGGATGCATATATTCTACATTGATGCCCCTAAAGTGTATAAGGAGGAGGTACAGAGTTTCTTCGCTAGTCTTTTTCCAATCGATACTGACCATGTTTGTGCATTGGCCAATGGGGTGGACATTGTCTTTGACGTGAAATTGCTTGGAGAAATTTTGCAAGTTCCTACAGTTGGGGTGTCGAGTGTATGAGATGTCTATCAGTACAACTTCAGAAATGTAGTGGTGAAAGATAATTCTAATCAGAAAGGGGACCAAATCCATAAGAAAGCACTACTACTTGTCAACCAACTGCTGTTTGAGCTGGTTAACAAAGTCCTGTTGCCTCGAGCAGAAAGGAGGTCTCTAACTTCAAAATCTGATCTATACCTAATGGAGCAATTGGACGGTTTCAACCATGTGAGTCTACCTGCCATAATGATTGAGCACATGCAGAAGGTGGCCAATTTCAAGGATGGCAATCACGGGCTTCCCTATGGATTTTTGCTCACTCAGGTGTTCAAATTCTTTGAGGTTCCACTGGGAACAGGTAAAGTGGGGACCCGTAAGCAAACATTCTCTCAAACAACCTTGGAAGAGTGCGAGTGTATTGAGAAGTATGGGGGCGTAGGAAGTACTTCAACTGTGTCTCAGCTCATCAATGCCCAGAACAGTGCAGCTGAGGAAATACGTCGATTGAAGGCCAGGAACGCTATCCTGGAAGGTCAGCAAGCCCGAGCGGTTCCCATGTAAAATGATGAGGTGATCCGTTTGACCCAAGAAAATGCTGATCTCAGGGTGCAAGTCGAGAACCTGAAGGCTGAATTGCTCAACGAGCAAAAGTTGAGAATCGCCCGAATAGGCCTTGTTCTCTAGACACTTACTGCAGCTTCCAAGCCCTTTCCTCCTAATGCCCCCTAAGAACCCCTTCAATGACTAGTTTTCTGGATATGTTTCTTCTTCTTTGTGTCTTTGTTGATGGTTGGTGGATGTTTTTTTTTTGCTTTTTATGTTTGGGATGTACTATTACTGCTCCTCCTGTGAACAAGTCCAATGTAGCCTCTTCCTTTTTTCAAAGGACGAGGCATATTAAAAATTATTAATATGAATCCTTTTTCTTATGTCTCGTACTGTCTCTCTATGTTCTATTCTTTCTTATGATTGTGTGCACATATGTGGCATGAGTTATTTTAGTTGGACTTCTTTGTGTTGTTGTTCTTTTTAATGATGCCAAAAGGGGAAATTACACATTGGGGAACTGGTTCTTAGAGGAGACTAATATAGGACTCAGGGGGAAACACATTGGGGAATTGGATCTTTAAGACAAGGCATAGTCTTAGGGGGAACTCTTTGAAACTGGTTGTTTGGTTTCTACTGCTTCCGATTTAAAATTGTTGAAGTTTGTCATCATCTAAAAGGGGGAAATTGATAGATCTTAAATACTCTTGCTTGATGTTTTGATCTAACAAACTTATGGCGAAGAACCAGATAGGGAACCTGACCTACTTGGATTACTGCAAGCGCAAACAGATTTCAGCTAAAGATGAATTGCTACAGCTTCAGGAACTAGGAACCAAACAAGGACCTGATGCTTTTGTGGTTTTCTCATAGCAGTACAAAGTTATTTGGACACAACTGGAAATGAAGTGACCGACGACACTGTTTCTGCCGCACTGCACTACACTGTCAGCCCACTCACATCATTTCAAGTTATGTGATCGAGATGTACCAAATGTGTTTTATACAAAAACATCACTGGAAGGTTTCTGTCTCTCATTCAAGCCTCTTACAAAAACAGAAAAATCATCCTCTCAAGCTAGAAGAACAAGGTTGAACGCCATTACGGACTAGTTCCTATAAGATTGATGCTTGCTGTCCTATTTGAGTTGTAACCTTGTTATTGTACTTACCATATCTCCTAAATCGCTTATCTAGAAGCATACTGATTAGAATCCTCTTATAAATCCATAAACTCGTTGAGTTTATGTTGTGACTAGATTTAGTCATAAGGAAAAGTCTTTGTAATCGTAGAATTATTAAGTGGCTTGTGGTGATAGCATCACAAGTTAGAAAAAGCCTTTGTAACGAGGATAGTCACAAAGTGGATTGTGGTAAAGGTACCACAAGTTAGTTGAGTAAATTCTTTTCAATAGAAAGTATTGTAAAGTGGCTTGTAATAGGTAAGATTACAAGTTAGTGAAGTTAAAAGCCTACAAGGTAGGTCATGGTTTTTTGATCCCCTTATGTGGGATTTTTCCACGTAAAAATCCTCTGCCTCATTTACTTACTACTTTACCAAGTTCTCTCAGCAGAATCTTGTAGAGGACCAGGTACTCTACGATTTGGTGGATCCATACAATCTAANTCATAACATTCAAGTTCTCCTCCATCAGTGAGTAATACATACTCATTGGGTGAATAATGGGAGAAAGGAGTACGAGGTCAAGAAGACCTATTGAGTGGAATATCTAACTCGTCCACAACTTCGTGAGTAGGATCATCTACCTCATCAACATTAGCATTGTTATCACCATCACCATCAATATGCTGATCTGGAATATGGTTCTGGGCATCACCATCATCGTTGAGCCCACCAACATCATCCACATTTGTATGAGTAACGTGATCAAGATTAACTAAACCTTTATGAACTTGGAGATTTATAGCTTCTCCGCTTTGTTAATATCTTCAATGGTTTGATCCTCCACGAAGATAACATCACGGCTTCTCACGGCCTTCTTCTCAATTGGATCATATAGCATGTAACCAAACTCATCAAGGCCATAACCAATAAAGATGCACTGCCTTGTCTTAGCTTTTAATTTTGACCTCTCATATTTAGGCACATGTACAAAAGCTTTGCAACCAAATACTTTCAAGTGGTCATAGGAAACATCCTTGCCATACCAAGCTCTGTTTGGAACATCACTTTGTAAAGCAACTGCAGGGGATAGATTAATAACATGTGCGGCGGTCAACAAAGCCTTACTCCAAAAGGAATTCGACAACTTTGCTTTAGAAAGCAAACATCTAACTTTTTCCATCAAGGTCCTATTCATTCTTTCTGCTAAACCATTAAGCTGCGGAGTCTTAGGAAGAGTCTTCTGGTGTCTGATACCCTGTTACTTGCAGTATTTGTCAAACGGTCCACAATATTCACCACCATTATCAGTACGAATACACTTCAGCTTCTTTCCAGTTTCTCTTTCAACTGAAGCCTGAAACTGCTTAAAGACACCCAACACTTGGTCTTTAGTCTTCAAGATGTAGACCCAAAGTTTCCTTGAGAAGTCATCAATAAGGGTAGCAAAATAAAGTGCACCACCCAAAGACCTTGTCTTCATTAGACCACATAAATCTGAATGCACCAACTCAAGCAATTATGTCTTTCTTGAAGGAGGATGAGACTGGAAAGAAACTCTTTTTTGTTTTCCAGCCAAGCAGTGCTCATATTTTTCTAATTTTGCACTTTCAAAATTTGTCAACAATTTCTTCTTAGCTAGAACATTTAGTCCTTTCTCACTAATGTGGCTAAGCCTCTTATGCCATAACGTTGAAGAGTTATGGCTCTCAACGACATTTACTATATCAACACAGGTAGAGGCCGTAGTCCAGTATAGACCACGACGCTTTTCCCCAATAGCCACGATCATGGAGCCCTTAGTGAGCTTCCACTTTCCAGCACCATTGGTACTAACATATCCCTCATCATCCAAAACACAAACAGAGATCAAGTGCAAACGAACATCAGGTGCATGCTTTACATTGTTTAAAACTAGTTTAGATCCAATACTAGTTTCCAAACAAATCGTTCCACCACCAGCCACTCTAGATACAGTCTCATTACCCATACTCAAAGTTCCAAAGTCACCCTGAGCATAGGATGAGAAAAATTCCTTCCTTGATGTCACATGAGATGCGGCACCACTGTCCACAACCTAGCTTGACTCATCACAAGCAATATTTATCAGATATGCATCAAGGACGGTAACAAGATCTTCTATAGTGATGGTGGCCACACGATTGCCATCTTTTTTATGTTCTTCCTTGTCTCTATTCTCCTTTTTCAAAATACGGTAGAACTTCTTTGTGTGCCCTTTCTTCCCGCAATGATAGCACTCAATATCTTTAAGTCAGCTTCTGGATTTGCTTCTATTATGTTCTCTATTTTGAGAACCCCAATTCTTGCTTCTCCCCCATAGAGTCAGTCACCAAGACATCTGATGAGGAGGAACCTTGAGATTTTCTTCTCATCTCTTCATTTAAAAGGCTGCTCTTGGCAAGATCCATAGAGATCACACCATCCGGAGCAGAATTTTATAATGAAGTTCTAAGAATTTCCCAAGAATCTAGTAGGGAACCAAGTAGAAATAGGCCTTGAATTTCTTCATCAAATTTAATGTCCATAGCAGATAACTGGTTCATGATCCCCTGAAAATTATTCAGATGATCTGTCATCGCGGAACCATCATGGTATTTTAAACCCAACATCTGCTTTATCAGAAACATCTTGTTGTTTCCAGTTTTCCGAGCGTACAAACTTTCAAGGTGCTCCCATAGGATCCGAGCATGTGTTTCCCTAGAAATCTGGTTCAAAACATTATCGTCAACCCACTGTCTAATAAAGCCGCAAACCTGCCTGTGTAACAAATTCCACTCTTCATCTGATTTATTATCAGACTTTATAGTGGTGAAGGCAAGTTGATGAAAATTCTTAACATAGAGCAAATCTTCCATTTTGCCCTTCCAAATGACATAATTTGTGTCATTCAAAGTAATCATTCTACTAGTGTTGACTTCCATCATTTATCACAAATACAAATACTATTTATTAGGAGACCAAAGTAATTCTTTTTTGATGTAGAAGTTTAGACTATGCTACAACCACAGAGCATTGCAAGTCAAAACCTATAATAAAGTGAGTGATTTCTGATGTAAAAAATATTAAGTAGTCGATAAAGCAGTCACAAATACGTATCATGTTGTTTTCTGGAGTGTAAGAATTTGTGCATACATTTGGTCTTTCTTTTGGTTAATTCTATTTAAACGCTTCTCGATAGATCTAATGTCTTTTGTAATGACGTGCATTTTCTGTTTAAGCCTCTCCACATTGGCATTGGAGATCATTTTGATGGGATGTGTTTGGTTGAAGAGAACCTGCAAAAAATCACGGAAGTCAAGTTATTAATGTCAATTAGCTAAACTATTAGTAAGACATCTCTCGTTAGTTATTCGTTAATTTCCTGAGATGTTCATGGTTTTTGAATTTTCGTTCCTCTCTTTCAATTAATGATGCCTTAGATATTAAACACGCATTACAAAATAGGGATTAAGTAAGAAGGGATCAATTTTTTAGAGTAAAGTACTATTTGTTCAACTCGGGTATGGGGCACATTACGAATTTAATTTAAAAGCTTTGTTGGGGTGGGGCAGAGCGAGATATATTCATCTTCGAAAATATATAGCAAAATTATCAAAATTCCATGGACATGCAGAAGACAAATTCATATTTAGATTTGATATTTTTCCCGTACCTTATTGTGAACGAATTTGGTCTCTTTAGCACTTTCAACGACTTCTCTTGTATCTATTGCTGCTGTTATCTCCCGAAAAATCTTCTTCTCATCGGCTAAAGAGTTACTCCCGTGTCTTGTCTTGCAACACAAAGTCTTAATCTGTAATTAACAAAAGGTAAATGGTTAATTAGCCTCAACATAATAATCAGATTTAGGACGTCGGTAGTTTAATTTGGACAACTTAGCGTTCCTAGTACAAACACGGATGCGTTTCGGGCACCTCGATCTCACCCAAGTCCTTGCATGCCATAAGAAGCAAAAGAAGATTAATCTTGGGAAAGTGTCTTACCGATAGAGGCTCATTAGGCTTTGCTTCACATGTACTGTAGACACCTAAGAAAGTCTCTTCTGTATATTCAAATTTTCGTCGTCTTGACTCATAAGAATATGGGAACGGTAGTAGCCTTCTTATGTTTTCAGATAATTTGTCTCTATCATGCTGCATATAGAGTAAGGACCACACCAAAATGCAAAAAATGTCGGTCAAAACAATGTAGAATAACGCAACTTATAGTAACAAATATTTTTTATGGCAATAGCTCCAATAGTACGATTATGGTTAGAGATTTTTACTTATCTATAACAATTTTAAAATTTATTTACCCTCACTATTGAGGCTTTAACTTAATTACAAGTCAATATACAAATTACCAATTTTATACAAAATAATGTATTAGACTCTAATCTTCCATATTTTCTCTCCCTCTTCTATCCTAAAACTAAAATTTTAAATTAACAAAAGAATATTTGGTCTTTTTCTTGTCAACTTCAGCCATACCTTTACCAGAACAAAGAGATTTGGCATCAAGCAATTCTATTATGTTTTCTCTTTCTTCGTATTTTCTATTTTTTCTATGTTAAATAATGAATGAATTATCATTTTTGAACAAGGGAAGACTGTTAAATTCTTTGACATTTTTGAAATTAATAAACAAAATGGTATTAATCAGAAGCAAATAGATTGAATTGGAAACTATTTTAATCCATTAGAAAGCTTAAAAGCTTTGAATTTGAGAATCGAAATTTAAAAAATTATTTTTTGTTTGGATTGGATGTTGTTGTAAATGATTGGGAATTTGGTGAAGATTCAAGAAACTTTTGGTTGAAATTTCATATTAAAACTCGAAAAGAAGATATAATCAAATTGTATATATTTTGCATGCCGAATATAGAAACGGTATACAAAACATCTACACTTTATATAATTGTATACAAGTTGTATATAAATTGTATGTAAATAATAGTTTTTGACCGAATTCTGTACAAAAAAATATGTATTTAAGTTGTAGATCAATTATGGATTTTGACCGAATATGTATATATTTTTTTAAAAACTTTATTTACTTTCTGTAAATATGAAAACTTAGAAGAAACAGGGTAAATAGAGTGCGATACTATATTAAAAAGAAAAAACAAAGTGAAATGGAGAATAAAAAAAAATGAAACAAAAAGAAAAGAAAGAAAAATGGGGAGAGCCTTAGATCGAACTTGGGCACAAGAAGGGAGGAGACATACATGTAATAAAATCTTCAAAAGGGTCATACACCACCACCACCAACAACAACAACAATAATAATTCAGTAAAATCCCACAAGTAAAATCTGAAAGGGTAGAATGTACGCAGACCTTATCCCTACCATGAGAGAATAAAGAGAATATTTCCAAGAGACCCTCAGCTCAAGAAAACGAAAATAGACAATAGAAACTCCGATAACAAAAAAAAAAAAGAACTTCAAAAGAGTCACATTTTATCATTTTTTGAAAAAGAGACCATTTTAGCATAAAGTCTTTAAGACGGGCTCCTAGTGTGTTTTTCTCAAAAGAAAATTGTTTAGTTTAAGAAACAAGAAGTGATATATCACTATCCTCACAAGATCCAAGTCCCCTAAATATACCTCCCCACCCAAAAATAAAATAAATAAATAAAAAATTTCTAAAATCTCGTGAAATCTAGAGGTAACGACAATTTTTTTTTTTTGTTAAATTGTGATGCAACATTTATTCAGTCCTAGACAGAACCTCTAGGAGATTTTACTTTTGGTTCCCGAAGGCCTCTTCCTTTTTGTTCGGTTTGTTCTTTTCAATCTTTTACTTTATTTTCATTTTATCTTTTATTTTTTGTGTTATCTATTTTCGATTTATTCACACAGAGAATAACATACGGAAGATACACACAGAGAAACACCAAAGATTTGAAAAACAAACTTTTCAAAATCTCAAAGAAAATCAAACAGATCTAAATCCGAAAAAAAAGAGTTCCAAACAAAAATCAAAAATAAAAGAAGAAGAAAGCTGTAATTAGAGGGACTGACATCGATTTCTCTTGGCTTGGCGTTGATTTTCTGGGTTTGGTTCAGTTATTTTGCTGATGTTCTTCTCTGCTGGGCTTGAGATTCAAATCCTCTGTTATTGGACCTTCACTCGATTCAGAAAATTTTGAACCCAGTAGCGGGTGTTGATTGCTCAGTGGCAGAGTCATCGGAGTTAGTAAGTGGTAGCGGTGATAGCTCCTTCTGGTTTTTGGGTCGTGGTATTTTCTGTATTTTCAGGAATTCTCGGAGTATTGGAGACAAGTTGGGCGCACGAGCACTGGCAAAGGAAAACAACCTGGACGAGTGTCAGCAAAGGGCGGTAGGAAGTGGTGTGTGAGCGTAGAACTACATCGAGTACAGCAAATCAGCCACATGTTTGGTTATCGGGAGTTGGTACCTCCTGTTTTACTGTTTCCCTTTTGGTATTAGCTAAATTACTGTTACTTTACTTCGCAATAGTTAAACCTTTCAACTAGGATACTAGTTACCACTTGTTTCCTTCCAGTTTGATTTGTTGTCCGTTGTGCTCTAGCGAGTCTTCTCTAGATTGGTGTAGGTGTAGTGGCTACAGTCTGGGATGATAGAATAAAGGCATGTCCTCGGGTGGGGCAGAGTGTGGGGCTGGGGTCAGGNACAAGGTTATCCCAGGTGAGACCCTCTCAACTCAGCATAGGCTTTTGGTGATGGACATTTGTATTAGGATAAGGAGGAAGAAGAGGTCAGTACAAGGACGCCCCAGGATTAGGTGGGGCGCCTTAACTAAGGATAAAGCTGAGGAGTTGGAAGGAAGGTTATCGGCAATGGAAGCTTGGAAAAGTAGTGGGGACGCAAACACAATGTGGTCGACGACGGCGGACTATATAAGAAAGGCGGCGAGAGAGGTGTTAGGGATATCTACGGGCCACAATGGTGGCCACAAAGGAGATTGGTGGTGGAATACAGCTGTCCAAGGTAAAGTGGAAGCAAAGAAGGCGACTTACCTCCGGTTAGTAGGGAGCACTGACGAGGAGGAGAAGAGAGAGAACGGTCAAAGATATAAAGTATCTAGGAAGGAGGCGAAGATGGCAGTGACGGAGACTAAGACGACAACTTTTGCTCGTCTGTATGAGGAACTAAGGAACAAAGGTGGGGAGAAGAAGTTATTCCGACTCGCTAAGGCGAGAGAGAGGACAACTCGGGATCTGGACCAAGTGAGGTGCATAAAAGATGATGACGGCAAAGTTTTGAT